GCTGCCCAGGTTGGGCGGGCGGTAGCTGTCCAATGAAGTGCGAAGACCTCTCCCACCGTCGAGAGGATGCCCCAAGTACTTCGATTCTACTTCCATCTAGTGGGTGGTTTTGAACCGGTAAACTGCCCCTCACCGTATTTGTTTGCTGCAGTGACCTCTTCAGGGGTCGGTGTGGATAGAAGGAAGCCAGGAGGTGCCCAAGCAGCTGGTCTTGTGAAACTGATCTTCGTCTGGCCTCTATCCATTGAACGTTCAAACATGATTGGATCTGCGGCTGTGAGGAGCCATCCTGTACAGCTCGCAGAGTCATGGAGGCACGCAAGCCACCACACCACGTCAAGGTGCAGTCTCGTCGTGATAGGGAGTTCAGAGGACTGGTCACCTAGGAGCCCGAGACAACCACGCCCGAACACACGGAGGCATTTGAAAGCTACACCGCTCCAGGCGCTTCTTTCAACCCATCCACGTTCTCCTTTCATGCAAAGCTCAAATCCACCCAATGCTCGAAAACTGCAGTCAAGCATGGAGTACAGCTTTGTTTCCTGATTTTTATCCTCTTGTTCGAGTTTAACATACGGTCATCAGGCCGGTCAATTAACCTTCTTTTACTTCCGATTTGCAGCCACTTTCCCATCGACCAGCAGCTGCTTTATGATTTCGTTCCAACCGTTACTAATATCGTTTCTTTTCTTCGTATATCGTCCCAAAGGATCCACTTCCCATGTACTTTTCTCGTCTATCACGATCTCAGGCGATCAGCCAACCGTATCAGGTTTTCGATTCTAGCTAGTTGATCTATATCTTTCAGTTTTCCTTTTGTCTCAGGAATTCGAAATTGTGAAACACTTCCCTTTTCCGCATTGCTAACAAATATAACCTGGGTATTTCCAGCATATGAGGCCTATTAAAAAAAGTGCGAGAATTGGGGAAACAAACGATGTGCACAACATGGTTTTGGTGTATTGCGTAATCAATCTCAGAAAATGGTAGCACGTGCGGTTGGTCACCATCTTGTCTCCCCGAAGGTCGTTTGTTCGAGCCCACCACCGTCACCTAGATTTCACCGTTTCACACAGCAGGATTTTTCTTGACCGTTTTCCGCTTCACGAAAATTGAAACTACTCAAACTATTCCCGCTTTGCGGTTTGGATTCCTGATGAACACAGCTTAACTTCATCAACTAAGTGCGTTCAAACTTAGCACAAGAATTTTGGATAATGTGTCTGCAAGTGCAATAGATTAAATGAGGAGATAATAACTTCAGAAGACATCAACGTCGTCCGAAAATATGAAATCTCGAGTCATTTCCGAGTAAAAGGCACAATGAAAAGATCGGTTTGAATCGATTACTGCGCTAAATTCAATGGGCTATCGTATTGGAGGAATTAAGTTTCCTGTCTCATTTGCAGAGGCTATGAATTTTTTGGTACCAGAGCTTTGTAGATCCTTTCTAGCCCTGTGAGTAGAATACTATTGAGGTAACTGGAGCCTGGTGTAGATGTTAAACAAAGTGCCGTGACTTGTTTAACCTAGAGGGGGCAACGCGTGAAAATGAGTTACGGTAGTCAGCCACAATAAATCCAGTGTCTCAAACCATTTGACCGAGATGACCTCATAATATTAGCCATAAAATGGAACACGACCCGTATTTGGTCGCATTTACTGGTGACGGACATCATATCATTAAGCCAGGTCACAGTCTGACTACCTTTGACCTTCTACAAACCGCAGTCTTTATTTGCAAAGGTCGCACCGATGGATCCGATATGTGGTGAAAATCAGGCATTCGTTGGATTGAACTGCTTCACTACACTACCACGTTTTTGTCTACACACATCAAAATCCAAATGATCATGTGATCATTAGAGGAGAGAATGGGTGTTTGAATGAGATTTCTGAGGGACGATGAACAAGAGCTGCAGAGAGGGTCATTGCTACCGGAACACGAATGAAAAAGAACCGAAGCTTCCAAACGAATGTAATTGGAAAATACACCAAATCTGAAGAGGTAAAACATGCATAAAGGTATGGTAGGATCATGCATCCGCAGTTATGCACGAAAGATCACACACCGGAATTTCCCGGGGATCAGTAGGGTTGAAAGAGGTAAACGCAGCTGGGGCGGAAAAGGAGTTATCGAACTCGAGACAGACTGCGATAGGCTTTCGGATGAACATGGTCAGGAATTGAAGCGACAAAATAGTCCAAATAATATTCACCTAAATGATGATTATTGGAAAATCAATCCAGTTTGTTGTCTGCTCAACGTGAAAAAGGTGTGCGATTTGCAATGGTCAAACAAGTGTACAAAGTTAAACAACGAGTGAACGCTTAGGAAAACGGTCTCAAAGTAGAAGTGTATTGTCCATATCCGGAATACCTTGACGCCAAATTTCGACCCAAGTTTGTTTCCGTAATTTCTGAAGCAAGGATTCGAGAGAGGCACGGCTGTTTGCATCCGCGGCGTTGATGCAACACTGGAAAATCAGACCGCAGAGAGAGATGGATGGTCAATATGAGAGTTTAACTAAGTAGAACAAAATTTAGCGCTGAGGAAAGCACATGTCAGCTTAGTTTATCACTCATCGTAACTTGAACGAGCAAATAGCTTGCGTGCTTCTAATAAAAAGGTTTCATGCTCGATGTGCAAGGAGCCAAAGATGTGTTAGGTGGCCAGACGGTAAACGTCACCAACTTATCGCCTTCAAGGACATGTGTTCGAACCCTACCGCCACCACCGCCTGACTGACTGACCATTCTCCGTGTATTGTTTAACAACCCTGTGATTCGCCCCTTCCGACTTCCTGAAAATTGTATAATTATATATTCAATAAAAGGAATTAAAATAAACAGATTAATGCGGTTGCATTCATCCAATCAGTTTATATAGCTGCCGTTGGAGTAGGCCTGGTCCATAGCCCTGAAGTTCTAACCCTGAAATCACCTAACTTTAGAGGTAAATAGATTCGTTACTATCCGGCTTGCTATCATGCACATCTTATAAGTGAGGTCCCATCTAGTCCCAGGTGTAATGGACGTGATAAAAAAAGAACAAGGATTAGTGATTAGCAAAGTCTAACTAGGCTAGGTTGGTGATAATAAACGGTTGATGTCAGCAACACTATAATGCAGCAAACAAGCCTCTAGTGGTTGTACTTCAAACTTTCTCTATCCCATTGCACACTGCGAAACAGGAACCTTAATTGTTATCTGGCACGAAGAAAGACGTCTGCTATTTGATAAAGATGTCTTCAAAACAAAATCTCACCCTACAGGGCGTGGGGCACGTTTGGCGGAGCAAAAGCTGTACACATTTACTGAAATATAATCGAGGAAGCATTAGCCTGTAGAGTAAAAACGCGTGCATATAGAAAACCATGCACTCATCGACTCCGTCAATATCACAGGTGACATTGAGGTAAATAAATACTGACAAGACAGTAGGCGATCTTAAGCTTAATGACAAATTTCATCCCAGGCAGTTGTGGATACAGCTCAATAATGTCAGATTGCAGCAATCGGAACAGTGGCACGAAAGTGCAATATTAACAAGGTTGCCGAAATTGAACTGAGTGATCAAAACGGATAAATTCCGCGATATCACAAACCAGTTTTCCCTGAAAGTAGTCGTCCAGTTGAGTGGCGTGAAATACATGCGAGATTCAATCACTATTATAATTTATATCATGGAAAAAATCTGGTTGTCACGCTGAATATTGTTTCGGTGCTTACAATACTGAAAATTAAAAATCGTGAAAAGTAGCGAAAATTATTTAGGAATCGGAACAATTAGGCAGACACTTGTAAAATTAATGATAAAAAATAGCTTAAGCTTTCACCAAGACGAGGATAAACAGATGGGGGATGTAACAACCGATCAATAAACGTGACACAGGAATCTGTTGCAGAAGTGCTTAGGAGATTTCACGAACGATAGAATAAATGTGCGGATCATATGTGCAACCTTTGGTGAGTGATGGCATCAATGTAATTGGTTGATTCTTTGGTTTCAGTATTCTGGTTTGAGATGAAAAAACAGGATTATTGATTGGACTCGGTGAACTCACCTGTGACAAAACAGCACTGGACTGCCCATCTGTCTGAGCTGGGGCCCCAAATCGGCAAAGGATGGCCAGAGCTGTTTCACTACCCTGACGAACACTACCTGTTTTGTCCCGTGTACCCATCAGAGCGAGAGCGATGAAACTAGATAACCATTCGGGAGCGGAGTGAATTCCGTTGGATAGGTTAGCACGCCAGGCGATGTGATTCGCGATAACGGTGATCAACAGACGTATATCGACAACATCGTTCCGCATGCCCTGAGAAAAGGAAACAAACGAAACTAACGAGATCAGCGAACGTCAGACTTGGCGAGGATTTACAATAAGAAAAGTAGGTTTGTTTGTGATGATAAATGAGAGAGATCCGTTGAGATCGCATTGTTTATGCACCAGGATCAAATACTTCATGTTGAAATCAGAAACGAATAGTTGATAGGATAACTCTTTCCCGATTCCCGATCCGAGAAATCAACTTATTCATTACATAAATTACCTAGTGAAAGAATCGGAAACAGTTAACCGAAAAAGACAGAAAGTCACAGAGTTTTCAGACACTGAAAAAAATTTCACACTACTTTCTATCTATTCTGGGTAAGTTGAAGTTCACCTGATCAAGAGACTTGTTCGTGCTTCAATACCCAGGCACCTAGAACCAGTTTGAGAGGAGATAAGTTGTAATAGGGCTCTGCGAAAAGCAAAACACACGGAGGACATCCTCCCGACAGAAGTGTTTCTCCGGGGTTTCCCAGGTTCACATAGTGGTAGAAGATTATTGCATCACATCATAATGTCAAGTGCGACAAAAAACGGAACGTTCCGATAGATTGCATGCCACCGTCACATCGGCCGATTGCATCACACATAATGATGAACTAACCTTGAACAACTGTTGCATTAGGCCGGATAAATTGTATTGCACTGTCGGGGTCTCGACAACGTGGCCAATGAAGCTGCCAATGCACCGGTATCCCAGCTGGCATACAACGGGCTGTTTGTGTGTATAGAGTATTAGAGGAGAGGGCATTCAGATACAATGGATGGTGCAGTGTGTTTCTTGATTTATGGAGTTCAATGAAATCTATTTCTAACATGGCACACACCAAATGCGAAATAAGCCACAAGGGAACAGAAAGGAATACATCAAAGTGGACTGAACAGGAAGGGGACTGAGACCCATAACCGAGCCTGTCAAGCGAAAGTAGCTGATAATCTGATCCGAAGACATGAAAGGGCGAATCCGGTTGGGTGCAAAAGGAAAGGAAACAACATCGAAACAAACAGTGGCAGCAACTTCGAACTAAATACAAGCCAGTGAAAGCGACTTAAACTACCTGATCGACTTTGATATTCGAAAGCAAGTTCACTGGCGTTTCACACGCGGGTATCAGAACGAAAAAATTATGCATCACGGTGTTTCCGGGAGCATATGTGACACAAACACCTGTTTACTTTACTCCAACTCGCTGCTTGACGAGTGCAGATCGGCTTTATGACGACCATGAATTTTTACGAGGAATGAAGTGTGACTAAACACCAATGTTAAACCCAAGAGGAAATGTTATATTTCACTTTCAGCACCTACTTGATCCTGAGACGACAGTTGTGTGGTGAGATTCTCCAGTCGGGCGGTGATCCCAGCAGATATAGCCTGAGTGTTGATAAGAGCTTCAGGAGCGTGCTTCAGAGCGACAAGGAGTGCAATTGCACGACTTTGTTCAAAAGTCCACCGTTCGTCTGCCAATATAAATGAGAGAAAAAAGTAAGCTGATAGATTTCTCGAAATTCACGTGCAGTTGTTAGTGATGTGGATAACAGAGAACGCGTGGGAATCATACTGACTTGATTCGGACATTTCCAAAGAGATATATCAGCATGAATAAGTGGGGTCACAAAATATTTAGTTGGGCAGCCTTTATTGTAGCTCATCAGGGAACAACACAATGTGTGATATCATGAACTGAACTCTTCCGACGATTTCCAACTTGAGGAGTTTTTTCGCGCCGATAGTAGCGGCAGTTCAGGTACTAAGTCACACCCCGTGAACTTAGGCTGGGGTATTATGATTGTAGCTGTCATACAAAGATGATTTCATAAAACGATGAGATTGATTTTCAACTCCTGGCGACCTAGAAACTCCCGCTTTGCTGCAGCGCTTGAAAATAAACAGATCACCATGTTTGGCTAGCTTTCATGCCAAGCCTTCGTCGTCTATCACAAACTTTTGGAGAATGACCCATAGTGTGCAGCCCAAAGTACTTAGAACCAAACCGTATCCTCTGTCCCCAAGATTCCACTCAGGTAAGGGACGAAATAGATCACAACAGTGTGACGAAGAGTGCGAAAACGACACCCACGGCATTCACGTTGTGCTTTAAACAACTGCACAATACACCGACTAGTGAACTTACGTGCTTTTTCTGGAGTAGTGGGGAACAACAAGCGTTCCATCATTCGACCGGGATGAAGCAAAGCACTGTCCTCTGGCCCTGGTTTCGGCTGTTTGTTCATTAACGAGGATTGTGCTGCGAAAATGGCACATCCGATGCACGTGGATGCTACAATTCGAATTGAATCAGGATTTATTCGGACCGGGGACGAGAGCGGCTTGTCTCCCAGGCCCAAGCCGGAACCTGAAAGATCCTCATCTCCATAATCTACATCTTCCTCGTCGGCAGGATAAGCCGAATTGGTGGAACTACCCGGTGCATTGCCCATCAGACACGTAATCGGGGTTAGTGCGGTAAGAACGGAATCCAATGCTTGAAGACTAGCTCGACCAACGGAGCCAAGTAAGCACAATCTGAGAGCTTGGAGACTGGTATCTCTATAGTGGCAGTTAGAGAAATGAATGAACGGATAACAATGCAGTGCTAATTGTGTACGGATCGAAAACACAAGGAAAAGGGCAATACAATTTGTCAGCTAGAATATAATTAACAGACTTGGAGCGATTGTATACACTAGGACCCAATGATTTTACTGCTAACCGAGTCCGGAAACCGCAAATGGAACTAGAACAAACAAACGCCAGCAGTTAATTCTTTGAGCATGGACAAAAATCAGCAAATAAAATTACTCTATACGAATCATAAACCTTAATCCGTTATTTGAAAAGAGCCAATCAAATGCACTTACACCGCTGCATTTTCATGTGGGAACAGAATGGGAAACTTACGGGTAGGTGGCCACACCGGCTAGCGTGAGTGCCGTTGCTGCAGCCCCAACAGTGGGTCCGAGACTATCGGGTTTGAAGCCACTAGGAAGCTCTCCGTCAGGCCAATTGGAAAGCACCGTGTTCACCGGAACGCGTGCCAGGTCGATCAGTAGTGGATCCAATTTTGGTGTGATACTAACTATTGAAGCCAAACCTTGTCCTCCCAGAATTCGCATAGGGCGGTGTGAATCGCCCAAACATTTTAGGAATGTGGCTTGTAATTGGGTGACGAAAGGACGAGCAGATTGGGGACACTGTCGTGGAAACAATATTTGTACACAAAAAATTAGCTTTCTAACCAGTAATAAGTAGCAGATATAGAACACCTCGAACGAAAAATTGAACCAGCAAGGCAGAGTTTACTATTAACCGATGAAGTAAAAATGGAAACTATTATCGTGACACTGTTGTATTTACTCTTGTCATACGATTCCGAGACAGCCCGAAACAATAAAACCGACCAGCCTAAAGTATTTACACCCAAATCTATGTTGTACTACACCAACAACCAAAATACCCCAAGCGAGTGGGACAAATGGGAAATGCGGAAGGAGCATGTCCAAACCGAGCGATACCGAGTGGTACGGACATCAATATCGGGCAATCCCAAGACAGGAGATTGAAAAAGCCAGAGTCAATGTGTGAAAACAAATGACTCTGGCAGCAGCTGATTTGTGCTGGAAAACAATCTCCATCACTAGCAGCATAATCATCAACAAGCAGTAACCCGAATTCATGTTTGCATAAGGCGACCTGCAACACACGTACATGCATTGGTGCGTGTTTACATGTACTTACTATCGCTCAGTTTAGCGGTCGATATGTTCCAAGGTCATGCGTAAACGAAAGTACATGGAAAATGTGTGTTAAGCTAATCAACACCCGCAACCATCAGTTCCCACCACGGAAACATCAGAGATGATCCAGGGGTGTTGCTGTGCTAACTGTGCCTCCTTCGAAAACACTGAACTGTCAATTGATTGCACCAGCCTTTTCGGACTACGGATACACAACTCAAGGTGAGTGAATGATCAAGGGCAGCGGAAGTCGAAAAATAAGACTGGTGTGATCGTTCTCAATAACAAAGAAAGAAATTATCTTCACAATTGAGAGTGGAGGATAGCCTTAAAAGACGCACAAACAACGATGTGAAGAAATAACAGTAATTCTTAATTAATCACAACAAATGTCACATCATTAGGTGCCAGGACGGTAAGGTTCAGGGTTTAAACAGAAACGAGAAAAGATATTGAGTTAAGAGATATGTGACGAAAATCAACCGTAACAATGAGGACACGAAATGGCGCAACTAACCACCCTCTTGATGATTCAACTGATTGTGAATCATGGAAATCCAAAAGCGGATACTGCAACGGACTAAACTCGTAGCGAAAAGAGCATTTGGGTGGAACACACGAAACCATAAATGGATTATTAGAAATACAATACTTGAACAAAAGACTAAGTTTAGAATGACGAAAATTTATTCACAGACCTTAAGTGTAAAGAGCCTGGATACAATACCAATAGGACGCAAAAATCGACGATGGAAGAACATTCAACCCCGGAGTCTCGTAGTGGAAATGTAATGTGGAACCTCAGAAAATGACGAGGATTGTGCTGCAAATCAGTAGGATACAGCAATTGCTTAGACGGCAGTTCGTAATGTGACGAATTTGCTAATGATGAAGCGGATTTTCCTGGGTCAAACTATGAACACTGCTGGTCCGAAAATCATGCACAGCATTAACCATTATTATTCGCTCACCCAGTACATTATAACTTAGTACTTAGATTATTGAAACGCCGGTAAAAAATGGAAAGTATACACAAAATGGCGCCGTACACGTTCAGCTTCGGCGATAAGCCAGGAAACACTATTATTATTATTATTATTATTATTATTATTATTATTATTATTGGTAGTAGTACTAGTTGTTGTTGTAGAAGTGGTAAATAAGCAAAGTTCGTTAACTGTCAGTTCCTCAGTTGAATGAGGATGGGAACGAACACCTAGCCAAGTAAAACTCTGCATAGAAGATCTACTATCAACAGATATCCAATATCAGAGGGGAAAAACCTTGTGATCCAAGCATCAGAACACATGCATTTGTCCAAGAGAACAGCACATTGCTCTTGATCACCAAACGTATGTCACTGCCGGTTGCGTTCTCGCTGGAGTAAACAAGCAGAGCTGAGTTTGCATCATTGAAGTAACCCGATGGTTGAAAAATTTTCGGCGACTGGGGTTCTAGGAGAAAACGCATGAATCAGTTGTAAAACGTAGTGCGCGGTTACAGCATCAAGCTCAAAAAAGCTCGAGGAAAATCAGGGTAGTAAACTGAATAAAGGTGCATAAACCCAGAATTTTTCTAGGGTTTATCAATGAGTATAAGCCCTACGGATGTAACACAAACAGGGAGGCGAAAAACCAAAGACCAATCGGCATTCTCGTTTTCACTGACACAAAAACCCGATAGGTGAGGTAATGTTCAAACAAAACGGGTGAAAAAGAACCAGATACAACATACCTTTTTCACAAGGGCCGTGAGTGCTTCAACAACAGCCATTCGAACCACATTGGTCTGACGTTCTCCAAGAAGACGGATAAGAGGACCAATCACTTTAACTACACAACGTTGCAGTGCAGCTCCATTAGCATGAGCGATGCACTCGGATAAGCCTTGGGCTGCCGGTTCCTTAATATCAGCACGACCACGAAGAGTGCAATCAGCATACAACTTGATCAAACTAGCCAAAGGAAGATTAGGATCTGAAAAACCTGGTAGAAATNCATCCTGAGACTTGTTTCGCGTTGTGGGTACGGCCTTGTGTAGCTCAGAAACTGCCCCGCGAACACCCTGGCGTAAATCGTGCACTTGGGTCGTAACTGATTCGGGCGACCAGCGCTTGAAGGAAACAAGTAGAGCAAGGTAAGGTTCACAGGGAAACGGTGGGTTGTGATGAACAAATTGCATTGATGGTGGTGGTCAAGCGACTCAATTTGCTGTTAGTACAGTATTCAAGACCTTATGGAGTAGTGTTAGAAACCTTCTACTACTATCCAACTCTGATAATAAACAGGTTCACTGTTATCTAGCTAAATACTTTACCTATCTACGTGGAACCTCTTCCCGGTAGCCATTTTGAGTCCCTCAAGATAGCTTACTTGTAAGCAATTATTAAAGACCTTGGGATACGAATCTCATATATTCTACTGTTTACCTAAGCTAAGGTAGGTAGTAAAAAATTGGAATCATTGGGGCCGATGAACCGGCATAGGCGGTTCACCGTGCCAAAACTGCACTGAGGTGATGTCTAACAACTGAGAAGGAAGAAACGCCCGATTGAGTGACTAATGGTAAGGTACTGTTCCAGCAATAGCTGAACAAACACACAATTAGATACCTGGTATCGTTCTAATTGTATTATACTCAAGGAAGATGAAGTAATTTGCGAATCAAGACCTGAGGAACGCAGACATACCCAAACAAAATCACATCAACTCAACATTTTTATGACAATCATTGTGAGGTACGGGTAGCCACAAAAAGAGATGAAAAGATGAAACCATTGCATATGGCAAACCAGGGGGGATAATTGACATTTGATAGATTGAGCGCTCACTTTGAAGAGTGATTCCAGACAATTCCACGTGCAACTCAGGGTTTGCGAATCACGCATTGCCAACAGACGACATACATTGCGTAAAGCCAGAGGATAGAACTCTCTCAATACCCGAGCAATCGTCTCCTTGGGGTCTGGAGATTCATCTTCGTCGTACATATTTTCATCGGAATCGCTGGCGTAACTATCATCATCCTCATCCTCATCTTCGTCTTCGTCCTCATCATCATCTGTTTCATCGCTGCCTACCTCATCCGAACTATAGTCATCATCTTCATCGCTCTCCCCTTCCTCATCGTCGTCACTGTCGGATCCGTGATCCGCACGCTTTTTCGGTTTCTTACTCTCTTCTTTCGGGGTGGGCGCTGTTTGTGCTTGTGTAGTTAATTCCGTTTCGTCGCCAGTGGGGTCGTAGCTGGCTTCCAGATACGCATGTAGCAAGCGTAAGCAGGCAACACGATATGCCGCAGTACCCGGTGTCATAGGCTGACCAACAGAGGTCGGTCCCGTGGTACTTGACGGTGCCCCAGCAAGGCCATTCAAGAGGGTGTTAAATATAGATCGCACTCCGCTTGCGTCGTAAATACAGATAAGCACAGCCGCGCAGTGGGCCAAATCCTGAGGGACAAGAGAACAAATGAATAAGACAACGAACTAGTAAGACAACGCACGAGAGCATCAATATTCGGGGTGATATGTATAAAAAGAAAACCTATATGTGCATAAATTGTGTAAGCTTATAGGCTAGATTTTCAGTTCGATTAACATACAAATTGATAAAAATTGATGAAACCTGAAGAATACCACTATAGTTTGGTTTATGCACAAAAATTCCGACACAATTCAATAGCGACCTGTACCTCATTGGTTATGATTCTGGTTGGTGGAGTACAGGGAAAATGCTTTTGGATGTTTTATGTTGATAATGCGGAAAGGAAGAGCGTGTGAATGGATGGGAACGACAAGAGGATAATTTAATGTTATGATCCGACGATATGAAAAACATCATGACTGATGAATTAAGAAACTTTACTGCTTAAATTATAATGTCCATTTTATTAGCTTGTATAAAGAGGAAACAGCGAATTAAAAAGGCGCCTCAAACTGTATATGTGGATTGCTATCATACCTTACAGCATGCATGCAGACGTTCGCTTAGAATAAACTTAATTGGGAAACAAGTCGATGAGCGAGAATGCGATCCCGAAAGTTTTGTTATCAATCTATACCCCTCTTCGACTTATCACGTCGCGATATTAATTTAAGGGTTCATGTAGGATAAGAATATTTCTGATTGAAAAACGTATCGATCAAAAATGGATTCAAAATAAGTTTGGCAAACAACCACCACTACAAGTTACTGAGTGCCTCACAAATACAACAGAAGCAAACGAGATATTAGACTCACCTCATCTGATTCGGACTTCTCCGGAAGTTGTGATACCGTATAAAGCAACGCGGGTAGAATTCGGCTTAGTTGGCGAGTTAACGCGTCCCCGGCAACCGAAGCCAAGTAGGCGAACGCTTTCACATTGACAGTGGGATGTGTTAGCTGAGAACAATGGAGAGGAGTGACAAAATGCAAACAGTGTTGTTACGAGACTAATGCTCAAGTATTCCGTGTACAGAATAAAGAATTTTGGTCATGTAAACCAGTGTGAGAACGAAACGTTACCTTACGATTAAGTATTTTGATGACGGAGTAAAATGTCAATTACTGTTTGCCTGGGGATCGATCGCAAACTTCTGATTCTCGGTGTCCATTAAATGATAGTGCTCTTACTCACATAACCGCGAGTTCTATGGTTCGCTCGCATATTAGGACAGTTTCAACTGTTCACAGCGCGGTACTAATTAATCTGAACTGCATTTGGTACCACGAAGAGCATGAACAAATCATTGAACCGCAAGTTCAGATTTGTTCATGAGAAACGCCTAGTCCGGTTTTCCACTACATGCCCTATTTTTGGTTGTCGCACAATTTCTGTGGAAACAATTTATCGGGCTAACACATGATTTATGGATACATACCAACCGGTGATCACTGAAGAGGGGACAGAAATTTCGCACAACGATAATGACAATATCTCGGATAAAAACTGCTACAGGGGTGATCTTGAAGAAATTTGAAGTAGCTGAAATGAAGATAGACAGCTCTGTATATAATAATAAGATGATAAGATACGAAACATATTTTTCCTTAATGAGAAATAGTTTGTGTGATCTCAAATCAGCGCGCGCCCTTCGATTGGCTGCGCTACACTTGCACGCTCTCCGTCACATTGTG